ATGTGTCTGAATTGAGACATTTGTCTGACTTGATGAGGCAGCTTATTTGTCTGACTTGATGAGACAGGTAATGTGTCTGACTTGAGACATTTGTCTGACTTGATGAGAAAGCTTATTTGTCTGACTTGATGAGACAGGTAATGTGTCTGACTTGAGACATTTGTCTGACTTGATGAGACGCAAAGAATTATTTCTTTCAAGAGCTTCACTAACTGTGGAAACAGCTGCACTGTTTCCTAGTCACAGCTTGACAATTGACAGACCTACCTTCCAATACCTTCACCACCACCACCACCACTTGAATGTAGTGCAGTCTATTCAAAGCTTGACAATTGACAGACCTACCTTCCAATACCTTCACCACCACCAATTGAATGTAATGCAGTCTATTCACAGCTTTACAATTTACAGACTTACCTTCCAATACCTTCGCCACCACCACCACTTGAATGTAATACAGTTTATTGACAGATATCTCCCTATCGTTGCTTCTTTGTGTGTGTATCTTTCTAAATGGCTTAATGCTGGGGTCAACCTGTTCCCATGAAGCCAGTGTTTCCTTCCATGAGGGCATATCAAAACCTTTTTTTTTTTTTAAATGTGGCTAGATGGGGCATGGGCAATAAAAGGCTGGGAAACACTTCTTTAAGCTATTCAGAAACCCTAGTGTTAATACTAACCAATGAATTCTATATTTTAAATTCAATTCATCACTGGTTATAGTGTCTTGATACAATGTCTTTGAGATTATGGGGATCTCTGCTAACAGCGTTACCCTCGGGTAAAACATTTATTTTGTTTCTTTAAGCATTGCTATTGTCACCTTCATTAAAAAGATTTCAGCAAAGTAGTTATGTGTAAGTTGTAAAAGAAAATTAAGTAGTCCTTGTTACTGGCACCAATTATTTTAAAAAGCGGTTGATAGAGTTGACAACATTGTGAGGTGGCGGGATCTACTAAAAGTTTTATAAATGATTTTTTTTTTTTTAAATCTTAAAATTTTTTATCAATTATAACAACAATCAATCATCAGTGCTCATGTTAGCACTTGTTACAGGAGTTATCACAAATAAGTTTTTAAATTTTTGGTACCTAAAAGTTCTCGGTTTCTAACCTCATTTCATTATTTCTCACATTGTATTGTTAACACATGCCTCTCAATTTTTCACACAATTTTCTTCATCATTGTTAACAGATGTCAGTAAGTCCATGTAAACAGAAGTCGTAGATGGACTAGTGTAAATAATCTCAACTTGTATATCACTGGGTTATCAAGAATATATTTTATGCCTTTGTCGTACGTATAAATATATATATATATATATAAATAATGCATTTCTACTTGCACATACATGATAAAATTATCCGTAATTTCCCATCATTCTTCTTATGAACATATTTCTTTTATTGTTATTTCGTCCAGGCACTTGTGTTCACGCCAAAGAAATGTTTATTGAGTTTAAAAAATATTTTTTGTTGCTTATATTAAAATGATGTCCAAAATAAAATGGTACAAACAATTATGAGATTACAGGTTTGGTTGCTTTGTGTACAGCGGGGGAAAAAACAAGCTCCATTAATTAGAGGTCAGTTTTTACTTTATTAATTTGGAGTGCTTCAAACCAGGAGTCAAGTCAAGTTAAAGCTGTTGATGCCTGGTCTTTTACACAAGGGCAGCTACAACCAGGATGTTGTTGCTCTAATAGTGACAACTTGTACATAGGATAGTTCAGTAGAACAACTCGTTGATGGCACATAATTAACTTAAGCAAACTTATAGAAACTGTGTAGCAAAATGTTTGCCTGTGATGTTTGGATCAATCTGAAAATGTTTGGCAGTGATTTTTGGATCAATCTGAAAATGTTTATCTGTGATGTTTGGATCAACCTGAAAATGTTTATCTGTGATGTTTGGATCAACCTGGATATGTTTATCTGTAATGTTTGGATCAACCTGAATATGTTTATCTGTGATGTTTGCTTGGTTTTGAAATTGTTTGTCTTGATGTAGTTTTAATTTTGATGTTGTTGTTTAATATGTTTGCATGTTTTTTTTAACTATTGAATTGTTTGCCACTGATGTTTTTATGATTAGAGTATTTTTCTTGTTGAAATCTGCTTATTTTAAAAGAGTATGAGTTAGTGTGTGTATGGTATTGAAAATGTTGTGATGATTTTTTAATGGTTCAGAATGTGCCATGCCACTTTATGTGATCCTGGAATGTTACGATTTAAAAAGGTACGCTTTTTAAAAAAAACATATGGATAAGATCATTGCGTGTATCCTATAGTTAAGACTGACCATTGCCTGTATTCTATATTTAAGACTGAGCATTGCCTGTGTCCTATACTTAAGACTGACCATTGCCTGTAACCTATACTTAAGACTGACCATTGCCTGTAACCTATACTTAAGACTGACCATTGCCTGTAACCTATACTTAAGACTGACCATTGCCTGTAACCTATACTTAAGACTGACCATTGCCTGTATCCTATACTTAAGACTGACCATTGCCTGTAACCTATACTTAAGACTGACCATTGCCTGTATCCTATACTTAAGACTGACCATTGCCTGTATCCTATACTTAAGACTGACCATTGCCTGTAACCTATACTTAAGACTGACCATTGCCTGTAACCTATACTTAAGACTGACCATTACCTGTAACCTTTACTTAAGACTGACCATTGCCTGAATCATATACTTAAGGCTGACTATTGCCAGTATCCTTTAGTTACTGACCACTTCCCTTTTTCTTGCCAGGGGCATTAGCAATTGCTATTGATATAATTGTAAATGTATTTATCTTTTTGAAACCATTTCATAATACAATTTTAATTACTTGGTTTTTTTTTTTTAAATTAAATAAATGTGAATTTTTAATTGGGAGATGCTTGTCAAGATTAATCTGATTAATTCTTGTGAAGGTCGTTTGTGTAGTACAGATTGATTGCACTGTAAGTTTTTCCAGTGCACTGATTTAGTTTTCCCAGTACACAGATTAAGTTTTTCCCAATGCAATGATTTTGTTTTCCCAAAATATTCATTATCACACTAACAGTAAAAAAAAGACCAAAATAAATTTAAAGGGAAAATGAGTTTTGCCATAAACCTGGTTTATGAGATTTTACAATCTATTGTTTTATAATATTTTATTTTGCTTTGTTTTGTTTTCATAATTTTTAATTTCACTAATTAATGAAGATTGAAGTTAGAATATTAATTTGTTAATATATATAATATATATATATATATATATATTTATATTTACCCCCAAAATTTAAACTGTATGTTGACTGCTGTGTAGCAGCTAAAACTTTTCTACAAATGCAGGTAATAGTAATTGAACTTTTTATTTTGGTGGGGTTGTGGGGTCGGTAGGGTTGGGGGCGGGTTGGGGGGTGTTTATACTTTTGACTGATTCAAGAATAGACACATTCCTATACTTGTCGACAAATCATTTGTGTGGCTTATATTAAAGCTAGGAGCCCAAGTGTCAATTCTCTGTGAGTTTTTTTGTTTGTCCATAGAGACCAATGCAACAGGATGACTGTACACAACTGTGTCCAGCCCATCATACCCTTCACTGTGCTAGTATAAACTTTCACCATGTTAATTGATGTCATCTTATAACTTGTCGACATGTCATGTTCACACTGGTAATAAAATGTACAGATTTGTCACCTTAACACCTGACTTTCACAGAGAGTTGTTTGGTTTGTTTTTTTAGTTGAAGATCTCTGGAATAATTTTTTTTCCTTAAATTAGTATTAAGGTAGATACTTAAAGAGGGTCATTATTTAAGTTAAAACATTTTGGTTCTGAGGATGAATATTATGTAGAGTTGGCTGGGTGATGGCCCCTTATCTTTTGATGGTAACCCCTTATCTGTCACACTGATTATAAATCTCTCTTAAAGGAGGTTTGTCCCCTCTTCAGCCCCTGAAGGGAGTTCAGCTGATTTTGGTTGTGTGGATAAATGGACCGCAGAGTTTTTGTGTGGATAAATGGAGCAGAGTTTTCTTTTAGCCACATTGATTAGATTGGATGATTATAGACTTAGGATGGGATGACTTTAGATTGGGTGACTTAAGGTTGGGTGACTGACTTAAGATCGGGTGACTTTAGATTGGGTGACTTAAGATTGGGTGACTTTAGATTGAATGACTTTACTGGAAACACGTCAAAAAATTTTGTTTTTCTTTCAATGAAAAATATCTGCCTTTTATTGACACCAAATATTTCATGACAACATTTTAATTTTTTTTTTTAAAAAAAGGAAACCAAAAGCTTCCCGTGAAGTTGGTTTTAGCCATTTTTATGTAGAGAATGTGCCACACATGACCTCACCACCAGATCACTTCACCACACACACAGAGGCGTGGCAAGCAAACGCTGTGCCCACGGTCGGGGCCGGGGCGCATGGGCTGACTTAAGCACCCTCTTTCCCAATCTGTACATAATCTATAATGATATGGATATTTTGTACGAAAAATGACGAAGACGGGGGGGGGGGGGGGGGGTTTGAGTGTCCCACATTCTAGGGACGGCCCCGCCCACCACATGACCATATCACTTCGCCACCACGTGGCCATATCACCTCACCACCACATCACCTTAACACCAAATGCCTGTATCGTATAGATGGTATTTTTTTTTTTTAAAGTGGGGTAGGTGGGTTAAACAATCCATTAGGCAAAGATTTGGAAGATGACAGATCTAAATGAACAATTGTTCTTGCGTGGTTTTCAGGTGTAAGTCTAATTTTAGGCTAAAAGCTGGCAGTGAGGGTACAAACAAAAATTAATGAAGACAAAAATAATGGATAATACAAATTATGACACTATCCCTATATAATAAAATGGCACCCATTATTTATACCACAAACCTCATGTAACTTCACAAATGTATGAGAGAAAATTTAAACTAAAAATACAACGTTTTTCGTATAAACCATTTATAAAATGAAATATCGAAAAAGGGGGAGGGGGGGTGAAAAATTTGACAGAATCTGTTGTCATTGGCAATGAGTCTATTTTCAAATTTCAGCTTGGTAGGTTGACGGGAAGTGGGTAAATTAGCAGTCTGAAGATTTACCACCCAGCCAGAAACAAAAGAACAAAAAGAGAAGTTAATATAAATGATTTATTTATTTTATAAAAAAAAATCATAGATAATCGAATAAACTAAATAACTAGTCAGAGTTGATGTCATTGAAACGGCACCATCAAGTCATACCATGACCCGAGAACAGGCCGAAAATTGCTTGGAAGTCTAAAATAACAATCTGAAAATGTCGTCTGGTCGTCATCGATGGTCCCCCTTTCCATGTATTCAGCCATGATGGTCTTGTGCAGACGATAGAATGTCTCCATGGCTTCTTTACCACCTGCAAAAAGTCCTGACAGCAGGAAAATAAAACTTTGTAATTTTAACCAAATTTAGCCATATTTAATTTATTAAAAAAATGAAAACTAAAATGGTCGCCCGTACACATAGACAAGGGCTACTCGGAGTCAGATCCGCGTGCCGGATTGCCCGCCAGGCAATTTCAGTGGGCATATTTTTTTTTTTTAATCAACATGACATATCTCGTCACATCTTGTGCGCATTCCTTAAAGAAAATGGAGTCTCCGGTGAACTAGGAAAAACCATACCCGGTATTAACTCATGTAAAATCGATTTTGATCATTCCAGTCGTCGTAACTGAAATTGATATATCACTCCGTCATTCATCACTGCATCACTCATCACTGCATCACTGCATCACTCATCACTGCATCATTCATTACTGCATCACTGCATCACTCATCACTGCATCATTCATCACTGCATCACTCATCACTGCATCATTCATCACTGCATCACTCATCACTGCATCATTCGCAACTGCTGTTGCCGAAACTACCCGTCTAACAATTACCCAAGTGACTCCTTCAGCTTGTAGCAGCTGAGATCCAGAGACATGAACGCCCGAAACTGAAGCTTTGTGACCACGAGTTAACAGTCGTCTGGTGTGAGTCGGTTGCAGAATTACAGTAGGAGACCAATGGTTAACGTCTTGAAAATGTTTGGATGGAATCGCGCTGAGATCTCTGACAAAAATCGTGAAAAAATATCAAGGCGAGTTGCTTCGAGTTACTTCATACTGACTTGAATAGAATAACGGACCATTTTGAATGGTAAAAAGCCAGTTTCATTGGAATTATCGCACAAACAATTTTCATTAGCCGAAACGTTCACATCTCATTGTCCTGTCTTTTGATTCAAGCTTACACATATCGCGTTCTACTATTTCGTTAAAAAGTTTCAAGAACAGAGTATAACAAATGCTACTACGGATTTGTCTTAAAACGCAGTTCATGTCCACTGTTATTTACTAGCGTTATTAGACAAATGTAATGTACAGAATTAAAATCTAAACTTAACGGTGCACTGTGGTTGCTATGGTGATGTAGGTTGTAGCAGCGTTGGCGTTAGATGCAGTTAGCTCTTTTATTATGTTAAGGTTTATAAATATCTCTTGCTGGGGGGCGGTGGGGGGGGGGGCATCGCGACCACGTGGCGCGTGTAAAATATGGGAAGATGTGCTTAATCTATAAACGTTAGATGCAGTTAGCTCTTTTATTATGTTAAGGTTTATAAATATCTCTTGCTGGGGGGCGGTGGGGGGGAGGGCATCGCGACCACGTGGCGCGTGTAAAATATGGGAAGATGTGCTTAATCTATAATAATTCCAGATGGCGCTCCATACATGCACCACCCATACATGCACCACCCATACATGCACCACCCATACATGCACCACCCATGCATGCACCACCCATACATGCACCACTGGTATTTACTGTATAGAGAGTGCAGTGACGGGTACTGATACTGTTTCAGAGGGCTTGTAAGTTGTCAGTGAGCGTAGCAAGGAGCGTACAGAATCAATAAGCTCAGGGCCACCTATAAACCCGAAGTCAGTAAGTCACTACCAGTCAGAGCTCAGAGTCACCTAAAAACACCAAGTCAGTAAGTCACTACCAGTCAGAGCTCAGAATCACCTAAAAACACCAAGTCAGTAGGTGTACGAAATGTAGAACAACCACAAGATGCTCTTCCAGTTCTTTTTAAGTAAGTTTTAAAAATAAACATAAAATGATTCCAAATTTCAAGGGATTTAATAGAGCAAAGAATTGTTAGAGTTTTTTTAAAATTCTAACCTCCCTTGGGACGGACAAGATTTCAGGAATTATAATTTATTATAAAAGATGGGCAGGATTGTCAAAACATTGCCTTTGAGTGTATCTTATTAGGTCACGGTTAGATTATGTATTAGGCTAGTGGGCAACATACTTTGAATATCCACATATTACAGCGACCCCCCCAAACCCCCCCCCCCCCCAAAAAAAGGCATCAGCTCTACCCCGGTTCTTATCATGTTTCTTAACAAAAGCCTGGTAAAATTGAAAATAAATGGATTACTTCATTGTAAATGCTCAAAGCGTTTAAAAAAAAATTAAACAAATGCTATTGAATGCTACAAATGCTATGTTCGTGTTGACTATGTTACCTATAAACTGTATAAACCAATTATACAGAGCTTATAATTGACTTGTTAAGACGACGCTCACCTCCTGCTATCCAGGCGGTGTCAGTTTTGTGTAGGACGTTCAGTTCGTCGTTTCTTTTGCCCGGCAGATCTTCCAAAGCCGTGAAACTAACTTTATCTGGAGGAAAAAAAACAACAACAACAACATATAAATATAGCCACATTATAGTGTGCGACCTGGACACCTCAACCTGCAACAAGGTACATGAAACAATTTTAGTAAGTGTTAAATCAGGGATTCTCAACCTTGGTGGTGCTTGGAAAGGGTATTTGAGAGAAATAACTTTTTAAACATGGCACAGATGTGTCTATGTTGTTTTGTTTTTTTTTAAACATTTCTTCATCAACATTTTATTTTATGTAATGTCAAAAGTTAATTTTCTAAGCTGTATAGTTGTCTTTGCGATTCTATAAATAAATGAATTGTCGATTATTTTCATGATTTCAAATGCACTGTTTCTTTTTGTAGAGGGAGCGAGACTTGGTAATAACATTGCATAAGAGGGGGGTGGGGGGTGCCAGTCCAGTCAAATATTTCGTAGGGGGTGCGGGAGTATATAGAAAAGGCTGGGGAAAAACCTGTCTATTTTCAAATTGTTTATGTTTTCATACAAGCTACAAGACTTGTAAGAAGCTATAATTAAATGTAAATAAGCCATTTCTGAAATGTGCTGTTTTCACTCTTAAACCAATGTTCACCCTTTAAGGCTTCCTTGTATTGTCATAAGTGACTATATTTAGAATTATTACAAACCGATAGTGATAGTAAAAGGCATAACTGCAGGTACTGAAGAAGAAAATTAAGATTAACAAAATATTCAAATAGAGAGACTTTATATATAACGCTGATCTCTCTAGCTGTATTGTTTGACAACAAACAAAAAACCTGATGAAAAATGTTAATTATGGTGTTATAGAAACTCTCTCTCTCTCTCTATATATATATCTATATATCTCTATATATCTATATATATCTATATCTAAGACTATATCTATATATATATATATCAAATTGCGAAGCGTTTACCGGTACCTTTGAAGTTTAACAAATGACGTGGAATCCATATCCTATCCTCTGGATAAATACTGGCGTTTCCATGTCCGTATCCACCATCCAGCCATATAAAATAGTCGGAGTTAAATGGGTTGTCTTGAAGGGCCTCGTGAACTAAAGTTATTTTAGAGTTTGTGACGAGGTTGTACATGGGATCGACGGCTTCACACTTGCCCGACGCGTAGTTCTCATTGCCTTCCTGGTGGCAGGAGGGAAACACAATGCTTTAAAACTGGAGTTTCATCAGTTTTTTTTTTATATTTCACGCGTTTACGTAAACAAAATAACAAAATAAATGTTTACAATGAATAATTTAAATTTAAAAAAACAACTTATAAAGACAATGATTGATTCATTAAATCTAGCAGACCTACCCACCCCCTTTAAATAAAGTTTCAAACAGAAAAGACGAAATTATTAAATTTTTATTGTAAGCTGAAATTGCAATTTTGTCTTTGGTAAACCGCAGAAATTTTGCACAAATCAAAAATTACTTTAAAAAATAAAATAAAAAGAACGATTAAATAATATTGCTCTCTACCAGTGATTATTTCAGAAATTTTCCCCCCCGGGGGGGGGGGGCACTTCCAGGGTTTAACAGGGCAGATATAGCTGAAAGAAACCCCGCTCTCTACCCCCCCCCCCCCAATCCCAATATAACACAATATAACAAAATGATAAACAACCCGCTACCACCTTCGTGTTAGGCTTATATATATATATAATATGTACACGGCCTCTAAACAGCTCTTCTCTGTCTATGGTTTTACAAGCAGAACTCGATAGATGTTCGTACTTCATATCATATTATAATCTCAACTAAAAATAGTGGAACAATCGTTATGAGGAATATCGACATCATCTACATATGATCATAGCTCAATGCAACCAAGATCACTGTCTGTATTGAAGAAAAAAAATTATGTGAGGCCTACTGGGTTTTTCTGTTATGAATAATATAAGGACAGACATTTGAGGAAAATGTTAAGTGGCAATCCATGCACAGTGGAGCGTCGATTATCAGAAACGTCGGTTCCCCGAACAGCCCTTGTGTTTCATTTATTGCTTCCATCATCGTTTGCATAGCGCGGAGCAAGGAACATATTTTATGTACGGAAAACCATTCCGAGCCCTGCCGCACAATCCACAGAAAATCTAGATGGGTGTTGTACACACATTGGTGACAAGACGGGGAGATTGTCAGCTGGACATTTGTTAAGTAGTATGAAGCGCTGAATACACGCTGGCATTTTAAAAAGAAATGCGACATCGGATTTTGCTCTAATCACTACCCATCAATTTTTAAATCCTTTCTGTTAACTTCGCTATTGTTCATATGCTTATTTCTTTCCGAGTGTGTGGCGAAATCTTCGGACGGCTAACTGACCCACTTCCCGTCAAACCTTGGCACATAGGATCGTTGCCGATGACAATATGTTTTTTCGAGATTTCAGCCCCCATCCCCAACCCCCAGAAAGCCATTTTTTTCAAGGTGAAAATGAATGAAATACGATGAAATACGATGACATTGATTATAATAATATAGCGCATATAAAAAAAAAACACACGAAATTTGGGTCCCCAACCCTGAGCGGAAAATGAAACAAAATAAATAAAGCCCGGTCAATATTTTCCTCCCGATAATGAAGTGAAATAATCATCTATCCCAAGATACATGGATGAACATTTGAAATCTTACTGAGCGATTTATTTTTTAAAATTGTTTCATTGAAGATATACAACCAATTTTTCTTAAAGCAACATTTACATATTGATGTATGTCGGCGTGACCTTGTCATATCTTTTCATTGTTCAGTTTCTTGCACCGTTTTAACTGTAGCACTCCCGTAACATTGACTGATGCCAGTGCCAGTAGCAAAATCTAAACATAAACTTATCGTGTGTGGCATTTAAGAAACGTATAATGAATGTAAAGCAAGTAAATAATTTTAAGAAAAGTTAAATCTATTATGGACTGAAAGTGTTACAAGTGTAAAAAAGTTGACATTTGAGACAATGCTATAGACGCCCCTTATGAGTTTATTACCTATGGTTTTTTGTTTGTTAAAAAAACATAGGTATTATACTCATTACCGAATAATTTGTTTTTTCCTTTAATGATTATACTTATAAAGGGCGCCAAAGTTAACCTTGCACAGGGCGCCAGCAAGCATCGGGCCGGCCCTGCGGCTATACCCACCTGAGTGGTGTGGGTCAAACTCCCCCCTCCACATAAACCTTGGACAATTCTAAATATTTTTAGAATGTGGTGATTCTTTCAGAAAATTTGTCCCAGGAGAGGTTTTTGGAGTGGGGAGGGGGGGGGAAGGGGGTGCAATTCAGATGTTTGGGTGGACAGTGCCAGTGCAGTGGGAAGGGGTAAGATGGGACGATTCCCTCCCGGTGTCCCTTTTTTAAAAAAAAAGAATGAATTGACCTAATTTTCTGACATATGCCCACACTTCCCATAATACCCACAGTTGTAAATAGCGATTTAAAACACACAAAAAATTATTTTTAGTTCTAAGTAATCGATTATTTCCGGAATTTTTCAACCATGTTCTAAAAAAGTTTAAAGTTTACAAAGTAAATAATTCGTTTTAGCATGCCTACTATCTGTTATGTTTCCCAATGCCACAAAAAACCCTTTTTTTTTTTTTGGAAAGAAATATTACACACATTTTATACACCTGTTGTATGTACCTGAAACGATTTGCTGTTCATTATTTCCTTTATTCGACCAAACAAGGGATAGTACTCCAAGTCCTCGATCTCTTTCACATATATCCGTGTTCTTTTTTCTCTCCCTTTTCGGAAACTCTTGACGAAATTCCAACCTTTCGGCTCAATGAAAACAATGAGATTGACATCCAATTTGAGGATCTGAAAAGCAACAACCACGACCAAAAACCAAATGCTGACAATAAATTGATTAAAAAGTACAAGCTAAATAAGCACAATTATTATTAAAATCGTGTTCACAAAATATATTGCAACATTTAAAAAAAACGGCGAGCTCTGAAAAAGCTCTCTAATTATAGGCTAGTTGCTAGTTGCTGGTTGCTGGTTGCTGGTTGCTGGTTGATGGTTGATGGTTGCTGGTTGCTGGTTGCTGGTTGCTGGTTGATGGTTGATGGTTGATGGTTGATGGTTGATGGTTGATGGTTGCTGGTTGCTGGTTGCTGGTTGCTGGTTGCTGGTTGCTGGTTGCTGGTTGCTGGTTGCTGGTTGCTGGTTGCTGGTTGCTGGTTGCTGGTTGCTGGTTGCTGGTTGATGGTTGATGGTTGATGGTTGATGGTTGATGGTTGATGGTTGATGGTTGATGGTTGATGGTTGATGGTTGATGGTTGATGGTTGATGGTTGATGGTTGATAGTTGATAGTTGCTAGTTGCTAGTTGCTAGTTGCTAGTTGCTAGTTGATAGTTGATAGTTGATAGTTGATAGTTGATAGTTGATAGTTGCTAGTTGCTAGTTGCTAGTTGTTAGTTGCTAGTTGCTAGTTGCTAGTTGCTAGTTGCTAGTTTCTAGTTCACAAAAAAAACAAAAACAAAATGGCTTGAAAGCAGACTATTGCCCAGGGTAAAAAATGTGCAGGGTAGCAAGTTTGCAGAGGCGACAAATACTGTATTCATTGCAGGGAACGTGGGTTACTTTTTGACGTAGGAGGCGGGAAAGTTATTATAGAACATTAACTTAAATACGCCCCAGCTTATCGATGGATGACTCCTGATGATGGGGCTCTGCTCGCACAGCTTAATGGATTACTCCTGATGATGGGGCTCTGCTCGCACAGCCTAATGGATGACTCCTGATGATGGGGCTCTGCTCGCACAACCTAATGGATGACTCCTGATGATGGGGCTCTGCTCGCACAGCTTAATGGATGACTCCTGATGATGGGGCTCTGCTCGCTCTGCTCTCACAACCTAATGGATGACTCCTGATGATGGGGCTCTGCTCGCACAGCTTAATGTTTGACTCCTGATGATGGGGCTCTGCTCGCACAGCTTAATGGATGACTCCTGATGATGGGGCTCTGCTCGCACAGCTTAATGTTTGACTCCTGATGATGGGGCTCTGCTCGCACAGCTTAATGTTTGACTCCTGATGATGGGGCTCTGCTCGCACAGCTTAATGTTTGACTCCTGATGATGGGGCTCTGCTCGCACAGCTTAATGGATGACTCCTGATGATGGGGCTCTGCTCGCTCTGCTCTCACAACCTAATGGATGACTCCTGATGATGGGGCTCTGCTCGCACTGCCTGATGGATGACTTCTGATGATGGGCGAGACGAGCGTGTCGAATTACCTACTGACCTGATGATGGGGCTCTGCTCGCTCTGCTCTCACAACCTAATGGATGACTCCTGATGATGGGGCTCTGCTCGCACAGCCTGATGGATGACTCCTGATGATGGGGCTCTGCTCGCACAGCTTAATGGATGACTTCTGATGATGGGGCTCTGCTCGCACAACCCAATGGATGACTCCTGATGACGGGGCTCTGCTCGCACAACCTAATGGATGACTCCTGATGACGGGGCTCTGTATTTATCTTATCTTTTTTTTCTTCAATAAACTCTTTTAGTTACAGTAGACGCTTAGTCTGATATGGGATACATTCTTCATACAAATTTCAGTTACTATGAAAATTGTAACATTAAAAACTTATATGAAATCTGCAACATTTCAAAGATATCCTCGTGAGGGTACAGCAATTTTTTGTACATTTTTTTTATTTTTAAAGAAAGGAGACATTAATATTTAAAAACGAAACTGTCTATAGAAACTTAGGAAAAGCATGGACATTCTAAATGTGAAAAATGGGTATTTACCTAAACGTGGTCAGGACTATGCTATAAATCAGCGGTTTTAAACCTGTGGGTCGCGACCCCTTTGGGGGTTTAACGACCCTTTCACAAGGGTCGACTAAGAGTATCGGAAATACATATCCTCTACAGTTATGAAGTAGCAACGAAAACAATTTTTTGTTTGGAGGTCGCCACATTATGAGGAACTGTATTAAAGGATCGCGGCATTAGGAATGTTGAGAACCACTGCTATAAATGAATTACCTGTAACATCTGTCCCAGGTATTCATTGTAAGTCCTGCTCTGAGTCCACCAAGAACCACGACCTATGTCAAACAGGCCAGTGACAACGGTGAAGCTGTAATTTCCTAAGAACGAAAAACAGAAAATACATGACACATTATGGCCTCATATTATATGGCCTTATAGCAGCGCTGATATGAGGGTCGTGAAATGTGAGGGTTAAGATATTTTAAGGTCATGAAATATTATGGTCATGAAATTTTAGGATCATGGAATGTTATGTCCATGGGATGTTGATTAGTGAAATGTTAAGATCGTGGAATGTTAGGGTCATGAAATGTCAGGGTCATTGAATGTTAATGTCATAAAATTTTAGAGTCATGGTACGTATGGTTCATGAAATGTTAAGTTCGTGGAATGTTAAGATAAAAGGTCAGGGGGCATGGAAATGTTAGGGTTATCAATGCAAGGGTCATGAAATGTTAGTTTCATGAAATGGTAAGGTCATAACCAACCTTCCATTTTAAAAGTATCATTGGCGGTGTATGAAAGGGGGTTTACTCCGATAAGAAAATAGGTCGATGTCGCTTTTTATTAACAAGCTATTATCAATGCCGTATGAACTTTTTTTTTAGACCTGGCGCAAACAACTATTTTTGTATTAACTCTCCATCTTACCGCAACCAAAAATTATAACTGGTATAGAACTTAACTATTATGATTCCGTATATGGGTTGTTGTTCATTCATTATAAAATTCTTTATATTAACTTTGCTTTTGTTTGCGTGATTCTGTGTGGCGGCAATAATCATCGGTAGGCTAATTGACCCACTTTCCGTCATCCTTTCGAGCTGAAACTTGGCACACAGACTCGTCGCCGATGACAACACATTCTTTAAAATTTTCAGCCCCACCCCCAACTCCCCAAAAATAATATTTTCCTGCTTTTCAAGGGGAAGATGAATGAAATATGATTTGTTCAATGCGTGCGTGTTTTGGTGTGGAGATTAATTGTGTAGCTGTTACTTTGCGTTTGTGACGTATTTGGGTTTAAATAAATCTTTAGTCTGTTAAGTTTCTAATGTACTAAGTTTGATAAAAACTATTCCCATATACAAAAACAGTTGCTACAAATCACATAAAGGATAAATCTAGTACAAATGCATAAATGCAGACAAAAATGCATAGAGAGTATTTATACGCTCTAAACTTTGCGTTTAGAGGCTGTTTAATTTTTATGTTCAACTGTTGTTGAGATATATTATTTATGCTATTGTAAAAATTGTCTTTCTGTGGCACTTGTTAAGTAGAGAAGGGGTCAGTGATGTCTCTTGAAAGCCAAAACTCGCCAAGATTTCTTACTCGGCGTTCAAAGGAAATGAAATCGCCAATCTGTCTTGGTTCAATGTAGACCAAGATTAATTGTATCCACTTTAAATACTGACCAAGTGACATTTTTTCCCCTTCCTTTTCAGCAACCACGACTAAATATTATTTGTATGCTGTGGATTATAAGATGTTAGAGCCTTGCCGGACTTGTTATACTTCTTAAAATGATCCGCGGAGAAAAAAAAAATGTTATACCACAGCGGTTGCCCAGCCTGTGGTACGCGGACCCTGAGAGTGCGTGGTGGACCACTTTAAGGCTGAACAAAAAAAAAAATAAAAAAAATATTGTTAAGGGCAGGAAACGAAAAAAAAAAATTGTATGTGTTTTGTTTAACCCCTGTTCATTTATACATCAAACTATAGTTCAATATTTAGTGGTATGCTAACAACAAATGCTATCCATTAAAAATATTGTTAGAATACAATTAATAATGAGAACACCGTATTGCTAAATTAAAGCCCGGATGTTACACGTTTCCATTGATTTTTGAAATCCCGTTTTATGGCCGGCCAATTGTTGCAATGTTTATTTTTGGAGTAAGATTTAGCTATGTAACATGTTAAAAAAAAGAAAGAAAGAAAGAAAGAAAGAAAGAAAGAAAGAAAGAAAGAAAGAAAGAAAGAAAGAAAGAAAGAAAGAAAGAAAGAAAGAAAGAAAGAAAGAAAGAAAGAAAGAAAGAAAGAAAGAAAGAAGAAAGAAAGAAAGAAAGAAAGAAAGAAAGAAAGAAAGAAAGAAAGAAAGAAAGAAAGAAAGAAAGAAAGTTTCTTTCTTTCTTTCTTTCTTTCTTTCTTTCTTTCTTTCTTTCTTTCAAAGAAAGAAAGAAAGAAAGAAAGAAAGAAAGAAAGAAAGAAAGAAAGAAAGAAAGAAAGAAAGAAAGAAAGAAAGAAAAGAAAAGAAACGGAAGTAGCTTGTAAAGTAGACAATAAAATCCTATAATGGCATCATCTTTGTCAGCTGTGTTGGATTATTTACCTGATTTATTGTTTAAATTAATTGTTTTAGTGTTGACTTGGGAGGTAAAGAAAAGTGGGGTAATCGTAAATGAACATTCTACGAGAGGAAAAAAAAAAAAGAGTTTGAAACCACTGTTCTACCAGTTGTTCAAGATACTGTACAATTTACCATTCTCAGCAATTCCAAATACTTCAGTTGATTCACAATGTGTCACCCCCGTGAAGCATGAAATTTGATAGTTATCACAACCTATCACAAAACTTCGAAAAATGTGTTTATTATAAGAGTACTAGAATAAATGGCCCGATGTTATCGGGATAATAATGATAGGTCCTTTGCGACAGTTTCTAAATGCTATTGCAAAAACTCATCACAATTCATAAATTTCAAAATGTAATGATATTTTCGTTTCTGACATCATTAAGTTTTGAGAAGTATTTATCTGTTAAATAGTTTACGCGTTCCCTACTCCATTTCACGCCCCTAAACTACATACATTTTTTCCTCTCTAAACATGACCTTAAATTACCCAATCTAAATTATCACTAACTATATCACCTTTGTCACTAAATACAAAGTTAATTGAAGGGCATTTACTACGCTAGAAAATAGTTTAGATTTAACCCTTTTCGTGCCCTTGAATTACAACTTTTTTTCTATATAAATTGTTAAAAAACCTAATCTTAAATTTACCACAAAAAAAAAAAAAAACCCTCTGTACATGATATAAATATATTTTATATTACAGGACTTCGATATATTACTGATATCTTCATCAAAAATTTAAACACATTTTCGCCTTTTTAAAACAAATATACATTATCATAAAATCGTAAAACAAAGAATTATTTTATCCAAAGAAGAATCTCGCAACCGTTTTTCACGTCTATAACAAACATGCGTGACTTTTTTTTTTTTAATTGTTAATCTCATAATAATGTAAACCAACTTTATTTTTCGCGAAGTAAAAACAAAAATATGCTTTCATTTTTTTGAAAGAAAATATTAACCCATCTCCATTTTTCAAAATTAAATTTTTAAGTGTGTAAAATGATTGGGTTTTGATGTTTTTGAGTATTCTTATATACATGTACCCACGTTTTGTTAACGCCAATGATTTTCTGAATTGTTAAGCATATGTTTATTTTTAAAAAGAGAACTTAACAGAGAAGTCTTGCGATGTTGTCAACTGAAAGTGGTAACGCGAAGAATATCGATGAAGTAATATAACAGGTTTTCATCTTTGAAGACCAGGAATGTAAAGTTTTAACGATTAAATTTGATGTTAAAATAAAAAGTAATTTTGTGACCTATAACGCTGGACCGTCGAAGCCAAAAATCAACCAAAAGTTAACTTTTCTGTTTCGACCGAAACCGAAACTACGCCGAAAGTGATTAAATGGCAACTTTTAGCACCGAAACCGAAATTCAGTTGGCATCTAGTTTCCGTTTAGGTTTTCGAACTTTAGTTAAGCGAAAATGCCCCAATTTTATTGATACCATCTGCACTGTTCATCTCCACGCCTGATAAGTTGACAAAGGTTCTCAATAAAGTGATTGTAATAGAAATGAATGATGCTCACTCTTCAGGATTCGTTAACAACTGACTTTATTTTGACCTTTTCTAACTTTGTATACTTCTACATAAAAGATCACTCATTCCAGATTTTCACGCATTTACGTTCAAAAACTTTCATGAATAAAAACAACTCATGACGTCCAGTCATACTGTCACAGTGATTACAGCAGTGAACTTTGTTTAAGTGAATGCACTCAACTCTCGACTGTATACTGAGTTATGCAAATAAAGTGTTTCTGGATACGAAATACCCTTGTTTTACTCCCACGTGAGGTGTCTTTCCAATGGAAAAGTTTTGAGGAGATTTTTCATGCTACGTGAAGAGATGCCGCAATTCTTGCACGATGCTAAATTAGACATGAATGCAAAATATTCTGATGCCCATTTTCTTATATCCCGGTTCTGCCTCTGGGAACTTTTAATCACATCATCCTAGTTACGCCTATGGCAAAGGCGCACCTATTACACTTCTCTTAAATGTGTGCCAAGTTCCAAGTGTTTGGTCTCTTTCTATGGGAAGCACAAATAATAAGTAAAATAACAAACTGGACAAGTTAACGTCTGGACAGATAGGTCGGCTTCTTGCTTGGATGAGTTTCCAATGTTGGTAGCGGAATGGTCAGCTTCTTGCTTGGATGAATTGCCAATGTTGGTAGCGGTGAGGTCGGCTGCTTGCTGGGATAAATTGCCAATGTTGGTAGCGGATAGCACTATTCTATGATGAAGTTGATCAAACACAATGACAGATGGACGAGTTCAACCTAGCGGCAGACGATCGGACACCAGACAACAGTGACACAAAAATTGGGTGCCAGTAAACAGGGATACAGACAGTTGGGAACAAGACATGCAATTTTTGGCATCACACAACCGTGAGACAGACAACTGGGCTTCAATCAACCGCATAACAATCTGGTTCAAAGACTACTCTGCCACAAGACAACCGCGAGACAGGCAAATAGCCGACAATCAACTGTTGAGACAATTCTCACCCACTAACTCATCTTATGTAGTTTTCGTCTGTCAAACTCAAACAGTTGTGTGTCACTTAGTTATGGCCACCAAGGGGAAATGTTTAACATAGATCGTCACTGACTGGCTGATATTAGTAATGAAGAATTGAAAGTGACATTTTTAAAATTATAACGTACAAGATCTAGTGTTCCTCAATTTCCATGTATCTCTTTTCTTATTTTTTATATTTTACATATTTCCTAAATATTTTTGTCCGTTAAAATCTTATTTTGACAGTAATAATGCATACGATCTTTGACTTCCTGTAATCTCGATTTAAAAACAAAACAATTTCAGGTAATGACAAGAGTATGGCGAACACTAAAGTTATTTTTAAAAAAACTGCTTTCTGTTTCTTGTTATTTATTTCATTTGTTCTGTCTGCTGAGGAAGGCTCTTAGCCGATGCGCTCTTCTTTTATTGCCATGTCCTTCTCATTTCAAGGCCTCCACATACCTTGTTCTTCTATCTTCTTATATTAAGCTTAGGGACATCAGACACCAAGCCTACCAAGATAAAAAAATATATGTCCGGGAAGCAGTGTCTCTACGCCCCAATCGATTCTGAAGGGCGAACAACAAAAAAAAAAAAAAAAACAAGTATCCCAATATTTGGACAAATATAGTGACTATGTTTTAAATGTATGTTTCACCATTCGCCAATACATGATTTGTTCACAAAATAATGTCCTCATGAGGACATAATAAAAAAAAAATTATCTTGTATAACGGACCGTTTGTGCCTTTGCAATGAGTTATTCAAAGTTCGATAAAGAGTCAGATCGGTGATTCAAAATGGCGCGTATCGTTTTAACATTGAGACTGAAACGCAAAGAGACAGTCCGTTGCTAAGGTACTGTTTTTACAAAATGTTAACACCGTCTAAGGAGAGCAGCCCCATTAATAATATATTTTTAAATGACTCTTGCTTAAACTTCAACTATTTTAAAAAAGAATCATTAAACAAAACAAAATAAATAAACAAAACAAGCAAAAGACATCATCGGCTTCCTCGTGAAAACTGACCTTTTTCGACACCGAACGGGATCCACTCGTCCTTCAGCAGTTGTAACTGCTGTTTATCCATGTAGTCGGAACATTTTGAATATAGCATAGATATTCCTAGAGCACACAGAACGATGATACACACGTAGATTCTCAATGATTTCAATGTTGTAGTTCGCAGAGCTGGTTTCATCTCGTAGTCTGTCTCAGCTGCCCCCTTAAGGAGCCCAGGTGTCACACACCAAAGTGGGGGAAAAAAAAAACCCACAACAAAATAGCAGCCAGCTTTGTGGAAACTATTCAGCGGTTCTAAAACTTTCCGTCTACATTTTGTATTTGCTATTAATTAATGAATTTATGGCATGTGTTTTCTGTGGATATTTTTGGTACAATTCGTAGGCAACGACACAATTTCAATAATTTTTGTTTAAAAAAATTGATAATTATATGTTTAAGAAAAGTATAGTTACAGGATTTACATAAGTGTCACGTGCCAAAAAAATATGTCCGCCCCTTCTTTTCATTAATACAATTGGTAAGGCCACGAACTTGAACACAAAAAGGAGTCACTTGTTCACTGGCCCCTTTTTCCCGTGTGAGGTGCGGCAGGGTGGTTTCTACCATTAGGCAAGACTAGGCCGCTGCCTAGGGCGGGAATATTGTAGGGGCGGAAATTATATTCATTTGAAATTGAAAAGCGAAAAAAAAAAATTAGCAATTAAGGAAACACAAAAAATGAAATGAGCAAATATTTTAAAAAAATAAAATCATTGTTTACTGTAATGTTGAATACAAGTTATTTACTATCTAATTGATTAATTCTTCTGTCCTGGATAACAAAAGATGGGGGGGGGGGAGGAGATGAGTGATGGAAGTAAAATGGAGGGGCGGCATTTTTGAAATATCGCCTAGGGTGACAAAATACGGTTAAATACATAGAAATAAATATGAAACTGGTCCCTCCCCACCATCGACAGCGACGAGGCCACGACAGGCAGTTCCGGCAAATAAAAACAAGAACTCAGTAAAGGAACTCTTCAGGTCCTGCCAAAGAAATCAGGGACTTGAAAAAGCTTCCAAAGGCAACAGCTGAGGCGAATACACTTGACACATTTGCGTCTATTGCCTCCTTGCTTCCAATCCCCTGTTCGTAATACCTTCACTGAGTAGCCCTTGCAACCAGTGAAGTAGCCCCTTCAAAACCATACACAACAACATCGTGAACCCTTCTACAAACATATGAGCCAGAATGATCAATACCTTGATCGCGGGCCTTCAGAATATAGAAGAAGAAGAAACGACCTAGGGTCATGCTAATGGGGCATGCTTTAAAACATGGGTTAGGGGGACAAATCTCTCTCTCTCTCTCTCTACCCCCCCCCCAAAAAAAAAAATGAAGTCAGGCTACTTAGGCCGTAATCTTTTAAATGTGTCATACAAGCTAGACACCCCTCCTCTCTCTCTCCCTCTCGCTCCCCATTCCCATTTACAATTTCCACAATGTTCTGTTTTTTTGCGCTCTCCTGCTTATAGCTTCTCCATTCTTCCCGTAAGTGAGGTGACCGGAGTGTACCCAGTGAGGCGTGACGTAGACTGGTCTTGGTCGGTCGTTCAAAATGGGAAAGTCCTTGGGAGCTCATTTCCTTTTTGATTATGGGAGGGTACATTTCTATAGAGAGCGTCAACCACCCGAGGCCAAGCATTCCGCCTGGTCTCGAGAACGTCAAGCCACGTCTTAGTGTGTGCGGAACAAAACAATGCTGTTTGCCAAAGGTCAATGAACGTTGGCACTAACAGATAAGCTAACTAATAGGCCCCCATCTATCAATATAGAATTTTAAAATTTAGCATAAAATGAACATAATTAACATAATTTTATACTCGTTATTTACCATTCATGGTCTTCATTTGAGATGCTTAAAAAAGTCTTAGAAATTATTTCATAATAACCAGCGACACATTGTGTTGCCCGGGGTGTCCTTTGCATTGTCCCCATCCCCCATAAAAAACACTAAACTTATCACATTGATTAAACTTTTGATTAATAGAGGGATGAGGGGGTCAATGAGGGTGAATGCACTGGCCCGGAGCTAAACGACAAATGACATTTCAGTGCTGGCTCGGAGCTAAACGACAAATGACATTTCAGTGCTGGCTCGGAGCTAAACGACAACTGACATTTCAGTGCTGGCTCGGAGCTAAACGACAAATGACATTTCAGTGAAGCATTCCAAAAGTTTCCAGAAGAAAGACAGCTATTGCAAAGGTTCGAAACACCGTGATAACATCTGGCCTGGACCCTGTATTTTTTAAAAATAAAAAGTCACCAGTTAACCCTATAAATCCCTTTCGATGACATGAATCCGCCCAATGCCGGCTTATCTGCCGCTCACTTTAAATTCCTTATGCGCCCTTTACCAGTATACCTAATTCAGATCAACCTATGGATAGGTTTCGGGAGGCCGACATTTTGTTTATCTTTATTAAACCTTACAACGGTACGTAACAATGGATCCCGCGTCATAAAACAAACACAAAAAATAACAGAGTACAGTGGGGCCTCGGAATACGAACGCCCTAGAGCTCGAATAACTTCGAATCCAAACAAAAATATCTGTGGAAAATTTTCGCCCCGAAATCTGCTTTGGTATCCAAACGCCAAGCAGAGGCGTAGCGAGGGGGTGGGCAGGGGGGACAGATGTCCCCGGGCGCCAACACCCTCGCTACGCCTCTGATGCCAAGCACATGCTTCATTTTTTTGTCCTTTTGCTTTAATTTCCCCTCTGCTTTGTCCTTCAGATCGATGTCGGATGCTGTAGTTAAAGCTCCTCGCGTGATTTTCGCTGCTGGTTTTATGCCTTTGTGCCCGTTTCGTGTTGTTATTATTATGTATAATAATAGCAACTTCAGTGTATTCGCCTTGGGTCCCAAAATGTGTTGTGAGAAATGTAAGAGCACAAGAAGACAGCCTTAAGAGCTATAACTGAGGTTAAGAAAGATATCGTCACTGATCGTGAAAGCAGTATAGGTTACACTTGTGGCTAATTTCACTACTATGCATGGATGCCCAAGTCGAGTTTTTTTTATACGATTTTGAAACATGCAGAAGATGTCAAGGCAGCTGATGGGGCAAAAGGGGGTTAGGCCACTGACCTCTAGGACTCTAGGAGATCCATAAGTATTGAAGTTGTGGAGAAAGCTTCTATTAATAAAAAAAAAAATAAAAAAATAAAAAAAAACAGCTGGCTGGCGATGTGATTTCTGATACTATTATTTATGAAGATGCCAAGGTCCTCTGCGATAATGCAGTGAAAAGCATGCCTGATAATAAAATGATTAAAGGGTTGGTTGACAAATTAAAGAAGAGTACTGGTGTAAGTCGAGTTTGTAGGGACTGAGGAATGAAATTTATCCAGTTTCTATTATTTTAAAGAGAAAAACAATTTTTTTTTTTTTTAAACTCGAACAACAACTTAGAACTCGAACAACTTAGAACTGGAACAACCTAGAACTCGAACAACTTAGAACTCGAACAACTTAGAACTCGAACAACTTAGAACTCGAACAACTTAGAATTCGAACGGGGTTCTGGAATAGATTTTGTTCGGATTCCGAGGCCCTACGATACATTTGTTTTCTCGAAATCATAACGTGCAATGGCTGATTAACTGGGATAGTGAACATGGGGCCCTCAAACGCTTTATACAAAGGGCCAGTAGAGGCTTCGTTGCGGGACCGGACTTTAGTTTGAGCATATCTTATTTGTAAGGAGAAAAGGATTGTAAAACAACCAATACAATAATTAAACGAAGAAGGATTTTAATCGACATCAATTTGTAGTGGGATGTATGGGCCTGCACTTGGTCAATGACACGGCCATTGCCCGGCTCAATATTTTTTACTGCTACACTAGGAACGTGCCCCATGTCCTTTAGGTTAGTACGGCGCTTCCACACATTAGGCCTACATTACAGCAGTAAGCTCGTCTTCAGAATTTAATCAGAAAAAATTTAAAAAAAAAAATGATAACCGAAAAATAAAACACACACACTTTTAAATTTTGTTATTACAGGAAATATTGAACTTAACTCTAGAATAAAAAAAACCCCACCAAATTAAACAACTCCCAAATTAAACAACTCCCAAATTAAAACAACTCTCAAGTTAAACAACCCCCAAATTAAACAACTCCTAAATTAAACAATCCACAAATTAAACAACTCCCAAATTAAACTACTCCCAAATTAAACAACTCCCAAATTAAACAACTACCAAATTAAAACAACTCCCAAGTTAAACAACCCACAAATTAAACAATCCCCAAATTAAACAACTCCCAAATTAAACAACCCACAAATTAAACAATCTTCAAATTAAACAACCCACAAATTAAACAATCCCCAAATTAAACAACCCACAAATTAAACAACTCCCAAATTAAAACAACTCCCAAGTTAAACAACCCACAAATTAAACAACTACCAAATTAAAACAACTTCCAAGTTAAACAACCCACAAATTAAACAATCCCCAAATTAAACAACTCCCAAATTAAACAACCCACAAATTAAACAATCTTCAAATTAAACAACCCACAAATTAAACAATCCCCAAATTAAACAACCCCCAAATTAAACAACTCCCAAATTAAAACAACTCCCAAATTAAACAACCCACAAATTAAACAACTACCAAATTAAACAACCCACAAATTAAACAACTCCCAAATTAAACAACCCACAAATTAAACAATCTTCAAATTAAACAACTCCCAAATTAAACAACTCCCAAATTAAACAACTCCCAAATTAAACAACCCCCAAATTAAACAACTCCCAAATTAAACAACCCACAAATTAAACAACTCCCAAATTAAACAACCCACAAATTAAACAATCTTCAAATTAAACAACTCCCAAATTAAACAACTCCCAAATTAAACAACCCAAAAATTAAACAATCTTCATATTAAACAACTCCCAAATTAAACAACGACCAAATTAAACAACTCCCACATTAAACAACCCCCAAATTAAACAACTCCCAAATTAAACAATCCCCAAATTAAACAACTTTCAAATTAAACAACTCCCAAATTAAACAACTCCCAAAATTAAAAACCCCCAAATTAAACAACTCACAAATTAAACAACCCCCAAATTAAACAACTCCCAAATTAAACAACTCCCAAATTAAACAACTCCCAAATTAAACAGCCCCCAAATTAAACAACTCCTAAATTAAACAACCCCTTAAAACAACTTTTTCGTATAAACCCTTTATAAAATGTAATATCGAGCAATTGGGGGGG